TATATATATATATAATTTTCTTTTGTCTCGAAGCGATCAACTCCAGCTGCAACTAGATATTATTTTTTTATTCGTCTTCCCGAGTGATGGAGAGGCGCAGTTCTGCACACATCGGCCCCGATCCATATCAAGTCGGATGAGAACAGGGACAAAAAAGCAGGAGGAGGAGGGATTGTTTGAAGCCGAAGCAATTGGAAATATCTGAGGTGCTGTTCATGGAAACCAATTATCTCTTTTAATAATGTCATCTTATTTATGGATTTGGATGTTTGTTCTTTCCTCTATCGTCTTTTTCTAAACGCACGGTTCTTTTAAATTATGCCCTCTATGTTTGTTTGAATTTGGCCGCTGTTGGCATTTATCCATCGCTGTCCTCTGGTAGCAGATACCATGTTCCCGCTTACTTGTCCAATTTCCATGGAAAAATTCATAACTTTATATGCCATTTAGCGCATTTAGTTAAGATTTTCTTTACCTCCTGAAATAGGCAGCTGTGTTTAGATTCCTGGAATTTGAGTGAAAGGAAATGAACATAACGGGGTTGAAAAGCTTGAATAAATGATCGCAGATTCATAATGAAGCCATCGATTTATGTGATTTCATTTAATTTCTACCATTTTCTTTCACTCCAAACAAAGCGGAAAATTTTTTATTCAAAGATTACTCCTTTTCAAATTTTCTGAATTGATAAGCACAATCTTTTATCCCATCATCACCGAATTATATGAGTTAGGATTTGTTGACGAACCAGCATATGGTTACCAAATGAAAAGGAAAAATCTAGGGTGATTATTTGTTATCATCTTTTACCTTTTTGTGGGATTGAGATATAGAGCAGGGCAATTTATGTCCAAGGTTTAAGTAATGTAGAACGCGAGACGGCTCAGCTAAGGAGAGAGGATCTCTCAGCAGCTTTGGGGTTTTAGAAATCTTGGACAGCAATTTGGAGGCCTTCTTGGACCGCTTCCTTGCTGGTTATGGACTAACTGATGTAGAACGGGAGACGGCTCAGCTAAGGAGAGGATCTCTCAGCAGCTTTGGGGTTTTAGAAATCTTGGACAGCAGTTTGAAGGCCTTCTTGGACCGCTTCCTTTCCTCGAGGCAAGGAAATTAGCTGAAATTTCTGGCTGCAACTTTGGGAGGAAGAGGGCTCAATATTGTAAGGAATTTGGAGAGGTTCTAGTGGAGGAATTTCCACGTGATGGCCTTGGAAGATTTCGGCTAGCAGAGGAATTTTAATTCCCAAAATAAATTCCAAATCAAGGCTGTTAACGTGGGGAGCTCTCTAGAGTAAATAAGAGGAGAGAAGACCGGGATTTAATTCCGGAAGTAAAAGAAATAGGAATTGCTGTGGCTAGGAGAAGAAAATAGACTAAAAAAATTTTGAAAATTTACAGCCAGGAGGGAGTTACGGGAATGAAGAGGTGAATTAGAGAATTAATTCCTAATTCCCCTCTACATAATTTGGAAAGTGAATAAAGGCTTGGAATTTTCGGTCAAACAAAATTATCAAATTTTGAAATCTTTCCAAAGAGAAATAAGCTGCACTTATGGATGGATTTCAAAGCAATTTAATAAAGGAGAGGATGCCGGCTGTATCTGGAGCTGAAGGTGGAATTCTTTCTTAATTCCCATGGAAGGTTTTAGGAAAGAATTAATGTTTGGCCCGTTGAAAATTTCAGCTAAAATTTTAGCTGCTTTGGTTTTGGGTTTCCAAAGGTGGATGATAGGGAATAATTAAGACTTCTTAATTTGGTTTAAAAAGTTTAGGAAAGAAAATAATTCACTTCAATTTAAATTTAAAATTCAAATGGATGTAAATTAAGAACTTTCCTAAAATAGGCGAACTAAATTAGGAAATAAATTTTGAATTTCAAATTTAGATAATTTGAATTTCAAATTAAGTCCAAATGTCATTCACCCCAAATTAGGAAACTCAAGAAGGAAGAGGGATGGGTGAGGCCGGCGGCTAGGGAGCCATGGCCGGCGGTTTGGGAGAATCTTTGGGTGAGGTGGCCGGCGGCTTATGGTGGAAATGGAGACGACGATGGTGGACAGAGGTAGAGGAAGAAGATAAACGACTAGAAACAACAAGAAGGAATAAAAACAAGAGATAAAATGAAAGATAGAGGATGGTGACATGAAGGTGGACGTAGGTAGAGGATGAAGACGACGACTAGGAATAACAAGAAGGAACAAAAAACAAAAATAAAAAACAAAAGATAGAAGATAAAAAACGTGAGCCTTGGACTCTTCCGAAGACTGACGGGTGATGCTTTGCTCTTCTCCAAGGGACTTCAAGTCACAAGCGCGGACCCATCCCGCGGCTGGTGAAACCTCTGATTCCTCCCATAGAAAGCTCACTATCGTCCTCTTCACGAGAACACAAGTGTAGAATACAAATTTTTAATATCAATAATCCATCCCTATTACAATATAGCTTAAGGCCCTATATATAGGCCAGAATATAAGAAAACTCAAAATACAAAATTGCCCCTTGGGCCACAACACTCACATAAACCAACCTAGGGGTAAAACAGGAAATACATCAAATAAAAACTAAAATTCAGAAAAATAACTCATAATTGAAGATTTAAATTATAGTCGTTGATTTACGACGCCTCCTGTGATAGATGCGCCAAATCTTCTTACCGATGTCCGCATCATTAAGCTTTTTAGGTGCCTTGTTTATTTGTTTTTCAGATCATTGTTCTAGGATGAAATTTTTACTCGTGGGAAAAAGGTTTGGTTTATTTTGGGTTAGGATTGATCAAGATAGTTCCAAAGGCATCGAATTTGTTTTGAGATGAGTGCAACATAAATTTTGATTGGTTAATCATTCATTGTAATAATCACACAACAAAACCAACAATTTTGAGACTCATCTTGACTAAATTTGAGTTAGAACATCCTAATCCAATTTTTTGCCTATATACAAACATCTTTCTCTTGTAGTGCTTGCAAAAAGAATGATTAACTAATTGTTTACTTGTTTTTCTTTGTTTTTCCTTTACCCTGTATGCTTTGTTTCAAAGGTTGTTCTTCCTCATTTTATTAGTCTTTTGGGATCATCATTCAATTTTTTTCATTTATTTTGTTCAAATTCATTTGCATGATTGATTGATTACATCTTTTATTTTTGCCTTGCCTGTTGTTATATCTCTCAACAATAATCTTATATTTCCTCCTTGAGGAGCCTGCTACTTGTGGAACAACACTGCAGACAAACTACTTAAAATTGCCTTGAGGAAACATATTGAATCTCCTGATAAAAAAACATATGTTAGAGATTGATTTGTTATTTGAGGAGAAGGCCTAGTGCTGTAAGGATTTCGAAATGTTCTTGTCAGTGCTACATTAGGCATTGCGGTAATTCAAGTCAAGGACCATCTTAGCACTATCAGGATCTATTCTTGTATCATGGTTACATTTTCCTGATACAAAAATTCTTTTTTGCAATGTCATGGGATTCCATTTCTTTACACGTTTCTAGATTTTTTTTCTCAAATATTTATTTGAGATTGTAAACATACATCTATATTTAAGTTGCTACACGAGTAAATCAATAACACTTTAAAACCTCTTTGAGTTGTCAAATCAAGCACAATAAATGTATTACAGTTTGGATCCTTAACTTTGAAGATAAGGTCTTGATTATTTATTGTGTTTAACAAATTTCCAATATGTGGTTGATATCATTCTGCAGAGCTCTAACTACCTTAGTTAGATATAGCCCTCTCTCTATTATCTTACAATCCAGTTGATTGTGTGGTGTGATTTTGCATTGAGTATTCAAACACGTGAAGCCTGAGAAATGCATTTATTGATTTGCATATGTAATATATTTTGAGATCTCACTTCTTATTTTTCTTCATCATCAAACTTATCCCAACTATTTGATCAGTTTTAAGAATTCTTCTCCATTCATTTACTTTGAGTATCATATGGGCGATAACTCTATTTTATGTAAACTTTTTTGTGCAAATTCAAGTAACATTTTATGTTTCCTCTCTTTCCCCTCCTAGTTTTTTTACATTATTTCTATCTGTCCATTACATGTTGTCTCTCTTTCCCTTCCAAGTTCTTTCACATTCTTTCTTTCTGACCTTTTCTTCAATAAAGTTTTTTCCTCTCTTTATAATTGGCCAAATCACATAAATCCTTTTTTACTATCTTATATTCATTTGGAGTACTTCCATCATCTCTTTACTATGATCATATCTTATTATATTATTTGTATTTTATAACATGTTCATCTTAAGATTCTTATTTCTACGGCATTCAACAACTTGGTCATTGGTGACTTATTTATTGATCAATACTGGCATATAGCTTTGACAAGATAAGAACCTAGCAATCGAAATTATTTTGTCATCAAATTAAATAAGTGTTGAAGAAAGAGCTTCATTGACCTCATTATACTTTTTCCTTCAAAAGTGGATTAAGAATTTTGAGACAAGTTATCTTTGGATTAAATATTTGTTCTTTTTTTTGCTTTTCTAGAAAATTTACTCTAAGAACCTACCTAAAAATATCTATCACGTTGGTCAATTTTATATGAAAAGTGATAAATCTTCAGTTAATTATACAAAAGTAGTAAAGGCGAACATGCAAAGGGGTTGAGGAAGGAAAACAAAAAACATCGCTGGCTTCATCCACCCAATCCTCTACCTATCACTTCTAGTTACTTTACCCACAACACATTACACATTTTCATAAGTCACTGTTAGGAAAAAATATTTATTACATCAAATTAATGGGTTACTTCATTAACTTGTTATTACAAAATCTCATCGCAAAGCTTTCAAAGAAATCACAAAGTGCCTATAGCATTAATTTTTGCAATACAATGTAGATTCAAGGGATAAAATCTACAAAGAGAATAACATATAGGAAGGAGATCTATCCATTTGATTGATCAAAGGGTGGGAACAAAACAACAACATGAGGTGTGGGTTGGCTAACCACCTCAAACCACACACGAGGTGGTATATTGGATGAAACTCAACAGCTTATGCATTGATGAGTGGTAAGTTACCTTGCATGTGGGCAAAAGTGAGACCTTGTTCCAAGATCTATAGAGTTATCATCTGCAACTGCACTGGATGGTTCAATATTTTGGTGGCTTCAGAGGTGCGTACTCTAATAGGAAGTGCTTGTAGAAATAAAAAATCCTTGGCTGAATTCTTATTTCAGCAATCCCAAA